CATTTTTCCTAGGAGTTTTATGGTTTCAGTCATTAAACACTGAAGTCTTTAATCATTCTGGGTTGATTTTTGTGTATGGTGTAAGATAAGGCAAGAGAACAAAGACTTTGAAAAAATTTTTGCGTGTGGATACCAGTTTTCCCAAGGACCATTTATTGAAGAGATGATATTTTCTCTATTATGCACTCTTGGTGCACTTGTTAAAGATTCGTTGACCAAACTTTTTCACAATGGGTTTGCCACCAGGACACAGGTGTCAGGAAAACCACCACTAAATCTAAGCCAAACTGGGAAAGGAGAGGACTCACATCAACATTGTGGTCATCGGACATGTAGATTTGGGCAAGTCTATCACCACCGGCCATCTGATCTACAAATGTGGTGGCATCGACAAGAAAACCATCAAAAAGTTCGAGAAGGAGGCTGCCGAGGTGGGAAAGGGCTCCTTCAAGTATGCCTGGGTCTTGGACAAACTGAAGGCAGAACGTGAGTGCAGTATCACCAGTGATACCTCCCTGTGGAAATTCGAGACCAGCAAGTACTACATGACCATCAGTGCTGCCCCAGGACACAGAGACTTTATCAAAAACATGATTGCAGGCATATCTAAGGCTGACTGTGCTGCCTGATTGTGGCTGCTGTTTTCGGTGACTTTGAAGCAGGGATCTCCAAGAATGGGCAGCCCCGTGAGCATGCCCTTCTGGCTCACTCTCTGGGTGTGAAACAGCTAATCATTGGTGTTAACAAAACGGATTCCACTGAGCCACCCTACAGCCAGAAGAGAGATGAGGAAATTGTTAAGGAAGTCAGCACATACATTAAGAAAATTGGCTACAACCCTGACACCATAGCATTTGTGCCAATTTCTGGCTGGAATGGTGACAACATGCTGGAGCCAAGTGCTAACATGCCTTGGTTCAAGGGATGGAAAGTCATCTGTAAAGATGGCAATGCCAGTGGAACCATGCTGCTTGAGGCTCTGGATTGCATCCTGCCACCAACTCAGCCAACTGAAAAGCCCTCACGTCTGCCCCTCCAGGACATCTACAAAAGTGGTGGTATTGGTACTGTCCCTGTGGGTCGAGTGGAGACTGGTGGTCTCAAACCTGGCATGGTGGTCACCTTTGCTCCAGTCAACGTTACAACTGAAGTCAAGTCCGTTGAGATGCACCATGAAGCTTTGAGTGAAGCTCTCCCTGGGGACAACGTGGGCTTCAACATCAAGAACGTTTTTGTCAAGGATGTCCATCGTGGCAACGTGGCTAGTGACAGCAAAAATGATCCACCGATGGAAGCAGCTGGCTTCACAGCTCAGGTGATTATCTTGAATCATCTGGGCCAGATCAGTGCTGGATACGCACCTGTGCTGGATTGTCACACACCTCACATTGCTTGCAAGTTTGCTGAACTGAAGGAGAAGATTGACTGTCATTCTGGGAAAAAGCTGGAAGGTGGCCCCAAGTTCTTGAGATCTGGTGAGGCTGCCATTGTTGACATGGTTCCTGGCAAGCCCATGTGTGTTGAGAGCTTCTCTGACTATCCTCCTCTGGGCCATTTTGCTGTCCGTGACATGAGACAGACGGTTGCTGTAGGTGTCACCAAGGCAGTGGACAAGAAGGCAGCTGGAGCTGGCAAGGTCACCAAGTCCACCCAGAAAGCTCAGAAGGCTAAATGAGTATTATCCCCAGTACCTGCCGCCCCAGTCTTAATCAGTGGTGGGAGAACGGTCTCAGAACTGTTTGTCTCAATTGGCCATTTAAGTTTAATAGTTAAAGACTTGTTAATGATAACAGTGCATCGTAAAACCTTCAGAAGGAAAGGAGAATGTTTTGGGGAGCATTTGTTTCTTCTGTGTGTGCGGCAGTTTTAAGTTATTAGTTTTTTAAATCAGTACTTTTTAATGGAAACAACTTGACCAAAAATCTATCACAGAATTTTGAGATCCATTAAAATAAAGTTTAATGAGAAAAAAAAAAGATTAGTTGACCATATGTGTGTGAGATTTTTTTCTTGACTACTTTTTTCCTTTGGTCTATGTGTGTGTGTTTATACCAGTACTAAGCTGTTTTGATTACTATAATTATTACCATGTAATATTATTTGAAGTAAGGAAGTTTGCTATCTCCAGCTTTTGTCTTCTTTCTTAAGATTGCATTGGCTATTTAGAATCACTTGTGGTTTCATTTAAAATTTAGAATTTTTTTTACTACTTCTATGAAGAATGCCATTAGAATTTTGATAAGGGTGCATTAAATCTGTAGATGCCTTTGGGTAGTATAGATATTTTCACAATAATTGTCCAATTCATCATCATGAATATATTTCTATTTTCTTGTAAATTCTTCAGTTTCTCTCATCAATGTCTTATAGTTTTCAGTGTACAGATTGTTCACCTTCTTGATTGAATTTATTTCTGTTTTATTGTTTCTGATGTTACTGTAAATGAGATTTCTTTTTATAATGGTTTATTGTTAGTGCACAGAAAAACAACTGAATTTTATATATTGATATAGTTAGTATTCTTCAACATTACTGAATTTGTTGATCAGTTCTAATAGCTTAATAGTAGATTTTTTTAGGGAATTCAACATATATAATCAGTCATCTGCAAACAGAGATAACTTTACTTCTTACATTATAATTTGTATGCCTTTTAAAAAATTGCCCTAAATTTCTCTGGCTGGGACTTCCAGTACTATTTTGAATAGAAATGTCAGGAGTAAGGATCTTTGTCCTGTTCCTAATCTTAGATGACGAGCTTTGTTGGGTAAAGTAGTCCTTGTTATTAAGTTTTTTTTTTCTCTTTTAACACTTTGAGTATATCATCCCATTATCTTCTGATATGCAAGGTTTGGGCTGAGAAATTCATTTATTAGTCTTATGGATATACCCTTTTATGTGACAAGTTGCTTTTCTCTTGTTGCGCAAAATTCTCTGTCTTTAATTTTCTTTGTCTTTAGCTTTTGACATGTGATGTATGTGAAAAATTTTTGATGTATAGTCTATTTGGGGTTCTTTGGGCACAATGGATTTGGATGGTCATTTCCTTCCCCAGATGTGGGTAGTTTTCTGTTATTATTTCTTTAAATAATTTCTCTGACCCTGTCTATTTCTCTTAGACAAAGGTGCAGCATTTTGATTTTTAATGAATTTTCTAATCTTGCTTTTTGTTAGTAATTGAAAAGTAACTGGAGTATCTATTGACTTTCCTTTTTAGCTTTATTTAGGCTTTTTTTCCCCCCTTAGGGAATTCTATTAAATGCATGTAAGTTAAAATCTCTAACTGTTCTGGTGGACCCTGACAAAGAGTTTTGGAGAGAACAATGAAAGTCTTAGGTATGTACAGAATGCAATATTACATCTTCTCATGTGTCCATTGTTTTGTTCATTTTGCTTAACTGAAATTAGTGGGGTTTTGATACTTCAACTGACATTAACTGTCTTGAAATATCATGTATGTGAAACTTTTGAAAATTGTAAAGCACTATATACAATTTAAAGAATCTTTCATTCAATAAAAAAGTTTTAAAAAATAAAGTATTGAAATTCTAATTAGTTTTGAATGGTCTGAAAGGTTCTTCAGTGTGGGTGGAGCTTATCTGGGTATTTGCAGGTAAGCCCAAATACAAGCAAATAAATTGTCACATATTTATTACTACTTAATTTATTAAATTAAAAATTGGTTGAGCCTACAATATAATTGTTTTCTTTTCTCTGCTGTTTACAGTAATATAATGCCCTGAGCTTATTTATTTGGTCAAGGGCTAATTGATTTAACAGGCTTGGGATATCAATCTTAGATTATGTAACCCTAAACAATAAATAATCTTGGAGAAATATTCTTGGGATATCAAACCTATGGAGAATAATTTTGTCCTGTTTTAAGAATGTTAAACATAATGCAGTGTTTTATGTAACAGTGAAATCTAATCCTGTATCTCCCGAACCCTAATTAAGAAGTTTTGAACAAGTAACTTTTTCTATGTGCCTTGGTTCCTCCATAAGTAAAAAGAGGTAACATAATAACATCTAGCTTATTGGCCCGACATGAAAGTTATAGAATATAATATAGGCAAATTTTGTATCATAGAACTTAGCAAAGAGTCAAATTTCAATTATATTAAATATTATTAGTCTAAACCATTATAACGATTTGTTAAGAGATTAATAAATGAATGCTGAACCACTGTGACAGTAGCAACTTTTCTCCTTTTTCTGTAAGAGGTATCCTTAATATTCTAGGATAGTGTTTTTCTACCATAACTGTACATAAGAATCACCTGGGGAGAGTAAACATACTCCTTAGACCATTCCTTGAGATAGTCTGATACAATTCATCTGGGGATGAGGCAAGATCTTCAGAATTGTTTAAAATTCCCCAGATAATTGCAATGTGCAGTCAAGATTCAGAACCACTCCTGTAAAGAATCAGAAACCCCATATGTTAAGGACAGTCTGCTTATATAAATTATTGATCATGAGAGTTTAAATGCAATTTTTTGGATGAAATGGACAATCTCAACTGCACATTCATGTAACGAAGTGGGCATTTCACAGTAACAGATGTAGCATCGTGATTTCATCTGCTTACATTCAACTCTAAAAGCTCTAAAAGGCATATTAATAAGTCCTAATACTGGGCCATTAATTTAATGAACTGAAAGAGGAGACTTGCATTCAGAATTGAGACGGTAACTGAACCTAGCGAACAGCACAGTATCTCCATGACAGTAAGCATTATTTTTCTCAACTTGTGATCCTATAACACTCAGGAAGATAGATAATTACACACACACACACACACACACACACACACACATTTTATATTTTATATAGTGGGGACAGCTATTTCTCTGCCCTGGTTTCAGCAGAAATGTGTAACTCATTCTTTCAATTCTAGAATATGATACTTTGTTTTATTTTTAAATAAGCAAGAGATCACTTAAACCCTTTCCTCAAAGTAAAGAACAGTCTCTCTCTAAAGATAAATTTTTAAACATTGTTGCCAACTTTCAAATAGAAATTTGTTCCAACTTCTGGCCATTAATTTCTTAAACCCTTAGGGGTCCAGTCTCATAGAACTCCATTACAACATTTCCCTCGAAAGAATATTTTTGGTTTTTTGAAAGTGTGAGTTCCCTGAACAGTCATTTCACAGAGGATGTCCCTGTGGGCCCAAGCATGGGAAGGCAGCTTTTTCAGTGAGTTTTTCTATTACACACACATTATACTGGTGAGTGTGCTATTCCATTTTGTCTTGAATTTTAAAGGAAAACATTACCCTCACCTTTTATATTATTAGATGACTAGTTATTTTCAATCAGTTAGCTATTTTTTTAACTTAACAGACTGTTCCAAATTTCACATGAAGACTCATTAATGCAAACAATACAATATCTCCATGAGATATTGCAGCTCATGAAATCACATTAACTATAAAATTAAAACTTATACCTATTACGGTAAAGGCAAGTTTTAGTGGTGGCAAAACCAGTAACCAGTTCTTTCCCTTTAGAGTAGTTTAGTTTGGCTACATATTGAGAAGAAATATGAAACTATTTAGTTCCTTTACTTATTTCAAAGAAGGTATCAGTGTTCTCACTCAAAAAAAAAGATAATTATTCATAGTTGAGTATTAGACATGTGCAAGTAATTCTACATGCTGATTATATTGACTATTTGGAGACACAGAAAGCTAATGAAATGGTCAGTGTGACCAGCGTGTAGCAGGGGAAACTCTCAACTCCCTGGGGGTGAGAAAACGAACAGTTCTATCCCACATAACCTGAATATTTCACACAGCTGACAAGTCTCAGAGCACTTACCTAGATGTGAATCACTTATACTGAGAAATTCACACACTGAGAAGTATTTCTTCCACTACACCTATGCAACACTGTAACTTTTCTGTTTTCAGTGGAATAATCTTGTTCACAGAAGATCAAGTGATCAAGGGATCATTCACTATCAGTGTTTTAAATATCAGCTTTCAAAGGCAAGGATTTTGTGTATACTAAATATAGAGACTAGCTGTTTCAAATGGTTTCCAGGTAGGTTGTCCATATTAGCAATGTTTTTTGTTAATTGCAGCTGCAATACACTTTATGTTTTAATTCAGTTCTGCTGCTATCTTAGGTTACAGTTTAGGTCCAGTATATATCTTAGAATTATCCCCCTCACAATGTGGCCAAAATTATAATGCAAGGGTCTCAGAATCAGAGGATAGCACTCAGGGGAAAAAATGTTTATTCTTTTTCCTCACAAGTAGTCTTTAAGTGTTTATTAAACCATGTTTTAGTTTGGCTTATCACTAATCAAACTTCTGTGTCTCCTACAAGAGGCACTGGTTATTTTCTCATCTTCTTCTTGTGTTTTCTTTCAGTCTTTTACTCAAGCTTGATTCTAATAATTTAACCAGGATTATACACTTAATTGTGACTATCTCTGGAGAAAATATCATTAATTTCTTGTAATTCCTATAGAAAATGTTCATAGTTTGTTCCTTTCCAAACAGACTTACTGATAATAGCTTATTGAAGGAAACTGAATCAGAGAGCATTAAGATCCTTAATATTGTTTACAAACTTACAGGAAACTTTTTTTTTCTGCTACAACCTCACCCACCATGATTGGTAACATTTAGCTTGAAGTTACATCAATTGTTCTTAGTCCACACCTGACAGAACAACTTATAATTCAATCTATCTGTACTTGTTCATTTTCCAACTAAGAACTGTAAAAAGGGTCAGTAACGTCAGTTGCATATTTTCACTGAAGTCATCTGCAGCTGTGAGCTGTTTTATGATC